CTCTACCCGCCGGCCCCGCCGCACCGCTCGGGGCCCCGGTTCCGCCGTCGCCGCTCCAAGACCGACAGGATTTTCCCCTCACAGCTCCCTGGGCGCCATCTTACATTCAACCCTCACAGCCAATGGGTGCCGAATGCTCCTCTCGCGATAACCGAAGCGTCGGATCCCGCGAGAATTGAGACTGCCTCCTGGCCAACCTTAAAGGGAACGCTTCTGCCGAGGCGAGAGGCCGGGCCTCCGGCTGCAGAAACGGCGAGTAGAGCCAGAAGTGTAGGGCGGGGCGCCCCGCCCTCGGACGCCCCTCCATGCTGGGCGGAGTCAGGGCCGGAGTTCGGCCTTTCGAGTTGGGAGCCTGGGCGGGTCGGGGCTCCAGGCTTGCTCTCTGGACCCTTCTGCAGCGTGCCTGGGCCTCCTTTAGTCGCGTAGCCCCACGTGGGGCGGGGCCCCGTCTCTTGTTTAAGGTAGCCCCCACAGCCCCTGACCTAGGCTCTGCGCCCCCGTACCATCGTCCCACCTGAGAAGCCCGGAGTCCCTCTCGTGCAGGAGTCCTTAACATTTGGGAACCCCCTCCTCAATAGCCTGTCGTCCTAATCCAGCCTTCCGCAACTCAGTCCACCTTAAAGCGGGCCTCTACTAGCCTGGTGTTTGTATACAGGGAAAATGTGGAGGGTGTTAAAGCTGCAGGCACACGCGAGTAGCCCACACTACCCCAGAGGGCAACCAGTTGGCTATAGCCTTTTTTTTAAAAGGGCCTCAGGGCCTTTGCACTTGTTCCTCCTGCCCTGGCAAACATCGCCTTGGTCCTTAGGGGTTCCCTAAGGAGTCACCTCCTGAGAGTAGTCTAGGCACAGGATTGGTCAGGAACTTCCTCCCGCCTTGCACAGGCCCCAGGGAGAGCTCTCTTGCACAGTGCCTGGTCACCCTCTGTCTGCCTAACTAGACGGTCAACTTAGAAGGCCATCGCACAAGTCTTCCTCTTCTCATTGTGCCTGGCACGTGGTAGGCACTTGATAATTATTTGCTGAATGATTGGACTGAGAACCAGGTCTGTTTTCATCTACCTAGGCACACAGGCAGACACAAACCCTCTAGATCCCTCTAGCACAAGTGGAACAGCACCCAGAACCTGCCAGTCCCCCCAGACCAGGTGCAGAGGATTTCGAATCAGGCCCAGGTCCCTGCCCTAGAGCACTAAGAAGTGCACCAGTGGTTTCAAAGATGTCAGTACTGCTCTCTGTGCAGGGCACCTCCTCCTACCCCCAGCAAGTCTCTAAGGTCCTCAGGAGCTGGAAGTGCAGACAGATAACACACAGACTCCAGGGGATTTAGCTGTTCTTTATTGATACGGAGTCTGGGTACCCCTAGCCTCCAGAAGCATGAGGTAGTTCCACGGGGCTTCCTTACAGCTCACACCTTTCCTGGGTCCTCCTTCAGTGTGACAGTCCGGTTGAAGACAAGCTGGATGGCAGATGGGGAAGAATGACGACCAAGCCAGAACCAGGCTAGGAGGCCCAGACCTCACCAGACCCTACCCTCACAGCTGAGGGTCAGGACACTCGGGTTCTCAGTAACTATGACTTTGGGTAGAGGACTGGATGGCTCTGGGCCTCCATTCTATAAGGACTGTAACAACCACTATGCCTGATCCCTACATCTTGAGGAGTAAGAAAGACAGGGTTCATACAAATTTTGTGCATGGATCTCTGAACCTGTTTCCTCATCAGTAAAACATGAACCCCATCTCAGGTGGTAAGGATTAACTAAGGGAATGTTGACAGAGCACTTGGCACAGTAAATGGCATCCACCGTCATTGTTGTGCAAAGGGCAGGTAGGTAAATTCAAGCACCTGTCCCTGGCAGCTGTCTGGATCCACGGAGAAGTAGCCAAGCCGCTCAAACTGGAACTTGTCAAAGGGCTTTGCCAGGGCCACAGAGCAGTCCACTAACGCTGCCTCCACCACTTGTAGCGATGCCTGTGGGCAGGGAATTAAGGTGGCCATCCAGCCAGAGAGACCCACCACCCTCACCTTATATCCTACGGGCCTACCAGGTTCAGGTCACTTAAGAATCCACCAGGCACCTCAGCAGGATCCTCAGGGTTCTTGTGCTGAAATCTGCAGCCAGAAGGAAGGTTAAGACTCCAGCTGGGTAGCCACAGCAGGCAATGCCCATCTTGTATCTGCCTGCACCCCAGCTCTGTTCACTCACAGTCTCTCATAAAGGCGAATCTCACAAGTCAGAGGCTGTGACACCCAGTGAATAAAGGCCTTGGGCTTTTCTCCAGCATCCGCCTGTCTACAGGTCACTTCCAGGCTCTCTACACAGCCAGTGGGGCCCTGGAAGTCAAGCAGCCTACAATTAGACCCAGGGACCACTACTAGAACTGGAGGCTGCACGCACCCAGATCCTCTCCGAAGCAGGCACTGAGGTAGGAAGACTGCAGCTCGCTCTCACCTTGAAAACATTCTGCAGCTCGATGACGTAGCCAGTATGCCTCAGGCCCACAGGCTGGCCCCATGCCAGGCGCTTATAGCCTGGCTCTGGCTCCTAGAGGTAGGAAGTGGTGTGGACACAAGAGACTGCACAGGTCAAAAAGGTAGAAGAGGCTTCTCCCCACCCCCATTTCTGGCAGGGGCTGGCTCATCTGAAGTAGGAAGTAGGTAAACTGACAGAAGAGATGAAGGGATCTCAGGACAGGGCTCAGCAGCAAACAGGACCCTTCACACCCCCCACTTACTTCTTTGAAATCAGTCCTTTCAATGAAGACCATGGGTCCAAAGGGAACCTGATGGAAGCCCTTGGTCTCATCAGCTGGGAAGTTGGGAACCTGGATGTCTAAGGACTATAGCAGGAGATAGGTGGCTGAGTCACACTAGGCACTGGGACCCCCATGCCCAGACCCAGGTGCACCACCCCCAACACACACACATAGAGGCACAACTACCTTGATAGCAGGAAAGTTGGTGATGATGACCTGTAAAGGCTCCAGCACAGCCATAGCCCGTGGGGCTGTATCATTCAGCACATCACGCACGCAGGCTTCTAGCAGATGGGGTTCCATCGTGGTCTGTGCCACTGTCACCCCCACCTAGCAGGAAAGATCAGCATCACTCACAGCCACAACCACAAACTGCTCTGCTCAGCCCCCACCTGCCCACGCAGCCCACTGGGCTATACCCGAGCACAAAAGTTGTTGATGGCCTCAGGCGGAAAGCCCCGCCGTCGTAAGGCTGTGAGTGTGAAGAGCCGTGGGTCGTCCCAGTCCCTGTGGGCAAGGAGGTGGTAAGAAGGTCTTTGGCAGTATATGCCACTAGTTACTTCCAACCTTCAGTGAGGCAAACAGTCATGCCTACCGCACAGCACCAGCTGCCACAAGCTGGAGAATCTTCCTCTTAGACACAACGGCATAGTGAAGGTTGAGACGGCCGTACTCCCACTGAACAGGGCAATAGACATCCAATGCATTGCACAGCCAGAAGTAGGAAGAGCGTCTGGGGTGGGAGAGTAGAGTCAGGTCTGGCCACCTCCGACCAGAGAGAGACCACAGGAAGGGCTGCTGGAATCCCACTGGCCCTACCCACCCCATGGGCCCAGCTCCCTCACCGGGCCTGGAATTCCTTGGTGCAGAGCGAGTGGGTGATGTGCTCGATGGAGTCACAGAGGCAGTGTGTGTAGTCGTAGGTGGGATAGATGCACCTGCAGAGCATAGGCAATAGGCCCCACCATCCAGCCCCAGTCTGCCTTACCCATGGCCCACCACCCCACCCCATGCTCACACCCACCAGGTGTCCCCCGTGCGATGGTGTGGTGTGTACTTGACTCGATAGGCCACAGGGTCCATCTTGCCATCCTCCATCACCAACTTCATGCGCAGTGTGGCCTCACCCTCCGCAAACTTGCCCTTGCGCATTGCCTGACAGGAGCAAGGGCTCAGACTGCCTCTCAGCACAGGGGCATCTCCTCCTCAGCACCCACCCAGACCCAACTGCCCCTCCAGAACCCCACCTCAAAGAGCAGCAGTGACTCCTCTATGGGACGGTCTCTCCAGGGTGAGGGCAACGAGTTATGGCCTTTGAGCTCCTCTCCTCGCTGGTGGCACACATAGGCCTGGCCCCTATGGGGAAGAGGTATGAGCGCCCAGGATGGCTATGTCCTGGGCAGCCTACCTGGCTCTACATGACAGCCCCGGCCTCACCTATGGATGAGCTCCATAGCCCAGGCATACAGCTGGTCAAAATAGTCAGAGGCATATGTAACCTTGTAAGGAGTGTAACCTGGGGCAGAAAAAGGCACAGTATGAGCAACTAGCCAGGGACACCCAATGGCAAGCCATAGCCCAAGGAGACGCCCGCTGACCACCAGGTCTTTCTTCCCAGCCCTTGCCCAGCCCATACCCAGCCAGGACACCATGTCACAGATGGCAGTGAAGAACCTTGCTTCCTCCTTCTCAGGGTTGGTGTCATCAAAGCGCAGAAAACAGATCCCATTGTTAGCCTAGGAATCATATAATCTGTGAGCTCTCACATCATCAGCTTCCAGAGTCCAACTCATCAAACTGGGACATTCTCAGAGCTCTCCCATGTCAAAATTGAAAACGCCTTCAAGAGTTTCACTCATTTTCTTATATCTAAATGCCTTAAACAAAGCCTCCTACACCAACTCCAGACATCCTCTTTCTAAGCCTGAGGAGTTGCACTGGGCACTTCACCAAAGTTGAACTCACTGCCTCACCTACGGCTTTTTTCCCATGAGCCCAATGGATTCCTGGTCTCGAATCACATATGTGATTCCCTTCCATAGCTTCTGTCTGCTCTGGGCACATTATAGGAGTAGCAGGAAAGGCAGGGACACCTTTCTGGTATCCAGTCTTGGGAGCAGCAAGTGGTCACCCTGACTGCCAGATCCCCACACACTCACCTTGGCATAGCCGAAGTTGAAATTGATGGCTTTGGCATGTCCTATGTGCAGGATTCCATTGGGTTCCGGCGGGAACCGGGTCCGTACCTGAGATAAGGGAAATGGGAACAGAGGAATGATGCCAGAACTGAGATTACCCTCAAGGAACAGATGCCCCTTCCCAGGGAGGCCACGGTGATAGGTTAGATGGAGCAGTACAAAGGCAGCCCAGGTCCCTTGGCAAGTGACGGCACTAACTTGCCCAACAGTACTTCCACACACCTGTCCTCCAGTAATCTCCAGGTGCTGCTTCAGTAGGTCCATGGTGTGTGGAGTGGTCACATAGCCTGGGGTCTTATAGTTCTCACCTGCCAGGGCCAGAACAAGCCTGAGGACTGGGCTAAAACCCAAGGCTCCCTACTTTGGCTATAAGAGTTGCTATCAAGATCTCACCCTCCCCAGGATTTTGATCTGCCAGCTCACCAGGTTTGTGGAACTTAAGTGCCTCCCCTCGGAGCTGCTCCATCAGAGACAGGCCCTGATCAGCCGCCTCACCTGTGAAGAACAGACCAAAGAAAACTTACCCTCTGATCCTCTGAATACAGCTACCCCATCCAGCTCAGGGATAAAATCCTGCAACCAGAAGAGAACCAGGCAGGTCCCTCTTTCCCCAACCTCAGAGACAAGAGATACAAAGCCAGACTTCTCAGTTTCCTCATGTTAGTGTCTGGCAGCAGAAGGCAGGGTGATGAGTAAGCTAATGGCCTGAGGAGATTGGGCTATAAGAACCCATCAGGAGGAAAGCCTAGAAGTCAGGGAGCTGAATGTGACAGGGACCTCAAACCTCTCACCATTCTCCATCAAGTCCTTTGCTGTCCTCCGGTCTTTTTCTTCTGGCCGAGCTTTTGACACCTGAGAGAAGCCCAGAAGTTGGGTCAGGGTCTCAGGATCACTGGGGTCAGATACTCCCTTCCCCAGCCTGAAGTCTCACCCTACCCCACCTCATCCCCAGGGACCCAGGACCATACTCAGCCCCACCTTGGGTTTCTTCTCCAGATCAGTCTCTGTCTTGGGACCCAGAAGGTGAAGAACCTGAGCAGAAACCAGAGTCAGGTCTGAAACAGGAGTGTTCTGTTTCAAGGAGCCCCTGACTGACCCCACCTACCCACATAAGGGGTTCCTGGCCTGCCTACCAACACTGCCTTGAAGAACCTACCTAGCCCATCCCATTTCTGCTCCTCACATGGTTCTGCTGGCCTCAAATGCTCTTTCCCCCCCTGAGAGTCCAAAAGCTGGTGACAAAACAGGTAACAAAAACTGCCATTTACAGAGAGGAACTGTGGGCTCAGCATCAAGACAACAAACTACCTCAGCCATCAGCCTCTTGTGATTCTCAACCACCATCTGAGATGACAGCCATATCACCTCTATTTACAGGATGAGAAAACTGAGGTTCAGAGGACAGCAACCCGAAAATAGGCACAATCCAGAGGCCCAAGTCTTTTACTGCCCACCAAGGTGCTGCTCCTCCACACTAGGCTCTACTATCCACCACAAGAATAGGGACAGGGTCTCTTCCCCTCCCACCCCCATGTATCCCTCAGTGGACTCTAGGCACTGTCCATGGCAGGGTCTTTGCCTGCTTCAGCTCAAGGAGTTGCCCACCTGCATGTCCACTTCATGCTTGATCATTCTGCCATCTGCCCACTTGAGCACAGCTCGAGCCTCTCCTAGAAACATGGGCACAAGGAGCTGCAGAAAGGCCAAGAAGGACACTTCCTACTCTCTTTCACAAGAAAAAGTCCTGGCTGACCTCAAGAACCAGAGCCTGGGCCCAGCCGGACCACTTTTAAAGTGCTCCTATTCCTCCCTCTCACTGAGGCCCAGAAAAGAAGGTATGACCAGAGAGAACAACATAGTCCCCTGCCCCAGGCCCTGCTCACCCATCAGCAGTCCCATGTTGAAACGATAACGCTCCTCCAGGAGCTGGGGCTGGTGACGATTTATGGCGGCCTCCACCTGCAGAAAGCCAAACCATGTGGTTCAGAAAGGTGTCCTTCAGAAATGCTCTAGGGGCCCACACTCTCACCCTGGCTCTTCCTGGGTGGAGAAGCTGAGCCACTCCTTTCCAGGTCAGTACTAAGGAGGTACCCAATGCCTAAGGAAAGACTCACAGCCTCTTCAATCTGCTCTGGGGTCACCATGACACCCACACCACATTCCTGCTCAAAGTCCTCGGTGTTGATGGGGTCCAAGGGATGACTTCGCACATACTCAAGGGCAGCTGAGAAAGGAGAACCAATGAGTGGCATCTCAGCTCCAAGAAGTTACACAAGGCCCTAGCCCCTTGAAACCCCAATAATCACAAGTTGGCTTCCTCAGAAGTTAAGCCTTGCACTATCCTAGAGAAGCTCTGAAAGAATAGTGTTCTTTTTTAAAGATTTTATTTGTTTATTTGAGAGAGAGAATGAGAAAGAGAGAGCACGAGAGGGGGGAGGGTCAGAGGGAGAAGCAGACTCCCCGCTGAACAGGGAGCCCGATGCGGGACTCGATCCTGGGACTCCAGGATCATGACCTGAGCCGAAGGCAGTCGCTTAACCAACTGAGCCACCCAGGCGCCCTGAAAGAATAGTGTTCTGAGCGAGGCTTTCCCTCAGATCTACACAGTTCCCCACTCAGTCTCACCAGGGGCAACCCTCTCCACTCTTCATTGCCAGGGCCTAGGTTTAGAGAGGAGTGCAGTGGGAGCATATAAAGAGACACTGGGGGACTTGGCAGAAAGGGCAGACAGGGGTACTGGCTGAAGGGAGGAGTTGGGAGGTGGAAGTGGCAGGGCAGGCAGGGGTCTCACCGCTCAGCTGGAGCTCGGTGTGGATCTTCTTATTGGCTATGTAGCTCACAAGGAAAGAAAGACGCCGGGGATCCCTGAGTCGGGATGCCAAGCCATATAGCAGGGTCCCGGTAGCTTTGTCGATGGTGGAGCCCAGAGTCTGCTGCGCCTGCGGTCCAAGGGGTCAGAAGAGAAGCCCCACGCCCAGTAAGAAAAACATGAGTTAGACAAGGTTGGTAGGTCGGGGTCGGGATTGGGACCCGGTCCGGTACTGGAGCACACTCGGCAGCCAGGGCCAAGGGCAGAGGGACTCCCACCTGGGTCGCCGCCTCGCGCAGCTGCGCGCTCAGAGCCGTGTTCTTGAGCGTCTCCCGGGCCTTATGCTCGCTCAGGCCAAGGCCGGTGAAGAGCGACAGCGAGTCCAGAGCCGCCATTGCTGGGATTCCGGAAACTGAAAGAAAACTTTGGAGCCAATCTGCACGTTGGCATTAGCCCACTGACCAATAGGAGAGCGAAGCCGCCAGGGACAGCCAATGGTAGCCTTCCTGGAAAGAGGGGGCGGGCTATCCAGGCTCGTCGGCGCCATTTAAAAGACAGAGGCCGCCCAAACCGCTCTTTCCGGGGGCTTCACTTCCGTTTTCGCGCTGCGGGTCGCTTGAAGGAGTGAAGTGGTAGGGGGCGGCAGGACTTTAGGGGAGATTTGCCGCGGACCTGGAGGGAAGGTGTTCTGCACAGAAGCAGGAAACCCTGGGACCATCCGATTTCTGTTGTTGGGAGCAACTGCGAGTTCCTGTCACATTTCTGACGTCACAGCTTTGGAGTTGTCATGGAAACGGTTGAGAAAAAAAAAAAACGAACCCCGGGAAACCGGTCAAGACTCCAGCACAGAGGCAGATAGGGGGGCTCCCTAAGTCGGGCACTTTTCAGGCGCCCACCTAGACAACACCTGGCTAGGAGACAGAGGGACCTCGAAGGTGTTCTCTATAATGATTTGGTTTAAAATCTCCTGACATACTTACCCTCCCTTGCCAAAGTACGCAAATGTCACAAAAACCACAAGCAAATTAGACCTTGAAATACATCTGCCAAGTGTTTGACAAGATATTTTATTGAAGTTGGGATAGGGTGGGGGAGAGGGGATACAATCTTCATGATGAGGCCTATTGTGCTTGGGGGAATCTCCCCACAGTCTCTCACTGGACTTCAAGGACCTGCTGAGAATCAGGCTAAAAGAGAACTGTTTTCTTTGTGGAACTGGAGCTGCTGGGATGGTGAGAAGATCCCCAAATTTGGGATTGGAACTCAGGCTCTTTGAGGCTTTGGTATCACTAGTAACTTGAGGACCTTCAAGAACGGGGCAGGATACTGACCGCAATCTACCCATATTCTGTGTCCTGCTTTGTGGCCATATCCCACTAATGACCAAGTTCCATTTCTGGGCCTACATCTGGGTCCCCCATGATGACCACATCCAGGTTCTGCCCAGGGCCACACACTGCATCAATATCTCAGTCCAGTTCTGTGTCTTGGCTCCCAAGACTCCAGCCTGATGTCCAGCCCAGGCAAGGCCAGGTGCAGGCGTTGAGTGTGGTGGTAGACAGGCACCACGAAGCAGAGTCTCAGCCACACCACCCCTGTGCTGAGTCCACAGCTGCAGGTACCTAGCCCACAACAAAGGTGCCTATGATGAGCACAGTGCCTGCCACATCCACTGTCCCCTCTGTACTTGATGCCACCAAAGGATTTATTACAGCACCATCACTATCACCACTGAGTCTTGCAGGTCTGGTGATGGCTCCCTCAATGGAGTCAGGGCCTACATTCCCTTTTCTGGTTCTCTCATGGTGCCTACCCTGGGAATCCTGTGGCTCCATGTCACAGGATGAGACAGTGGCCCCACCAATGCTACCAAGAATGCCACAAGAGGCAGTGGCAGGCTAGCCAGTCTTCTGGAGCCCTATGACTTGCACAGAATAGAGCCATGACATTTTATGGCCCAGCCCAGGGGCTGGCTTGTTTGCATGGACCCTTGGCACTACTTCAAGGAAAATCAAGAAAAAGATGATCAAGGAGAAAAGCTAGGCAGCAGTCAGCAAGGCCCAGCTGTGGCATGGGAAGAGGCAGGGTCCTGGGGCTGGCAGGACAGAGGCAGTGGGGGCCATAGTGCGGATGCCATAGAAGGGTTATATGGCAGACGCAATAGCAGCTGGGCTATGGTCAGGGGCAGACAGAGCTCCTTGATCAGTGCTCCCAGTACAAGCAGACCACCAGTGGCTAGATACTTGGGGCTGCACACAGTAAAGACCCAGTACAATCCTGCTGTAGCCCATACCTAGCAGGCCCTCCAACAGTATGCCAGCACCAGCACTCAGCTTGGCAATTCCGCCGTTTCTGCAGGCTCTCACACCCAGCTCTCCAGGCTCCACTCCATAGCCAGCAAACCTACACTACCCCTGTGCCATGTTCCCATAAGAAAAAGCCAACACTGGTCACAGGGGTAGCTTTCTGCAGGAGCTCCCTCTGCCGCCACCCCTAACTCCAACTGAGGCTAAGGTGTACTAGCAGGGCCCATACGCTGAGTTTCTTGTAAGACTGGCCCCAGAGGGGGCGCCTGGGTGGCTCAGTTGTTAAGCGTCTGCTCAGGTCGTGATCCCAGGGTCCTGGAATCGGGCCCCACGTCGGGCTCCCTGCTCCGCGGGAAGCCTGTTTCTCCCTCTCCCCCTGCTTGTGATCCTGCTCTCACTGTGTCTCTGTCAAATAAATGAATGAATGAATGAATGAATGAATAAATAAATAAATAAAAAGACTGGTGCCAGAGGCTTGGGGCAGGGATGGATCTACAGGGCTGCCAAGATCCTGTTCCCCCACCCTCTGCCTACCTTTATACTCTTTCTGGCTTATCTAAACAGTTCACCTCATGAGTACCTCTGCTCCCCATCTCCTCTGGCTGGAGACACCCACGCTTACCCTTAAGCAATAGGACAGAGAAGGAAGTAGCATTATCCATGAAGAGAGGCAAGAAAGCTCTTCACAAGATTTGCCCTTGCTATGTGTTATGTACAAGGTCACAGAGGCTCTGAAACTAGGACAAGCTTGCAGACTCACTATGGGTGAACAGCCTGGGGCAAAGGCCAGGAGCCAAGGTCTCAGGGACTTAAGGGAAGAAATGGCCTGCCAGGACTCTGCACCTTCCCTCCCACATGAAGGCAGCCAAGATGAGCTCTGGGCTCACTGCCTGTCCTCCTTTTGGAGCAGGATCTCTCTCCTCACAGCCGTTTTCTCCTGTGCTGTTCTCCACTAAGGGATCCAGATGGTGCTCAGACTACAGCAAAGAAAGACCTGATACTAGGAAAAGAAGGAAGACAGTACTCCCAGTGCTTTCTGTTCCCCAAGAAGTCCTCCCTGACCCGCTGTCTGGCTGTCAGCCCCAGGCTATTCCAGTGCCTGCACCTTTGACCCCAGCTTCTAGAGCCTCTTGGGGGTACTCATCCACTCTTTAGGTATGAAGTATTGACAATGATGCTGAACACAGCTGCCTCCACATGAGACCCAGAACTGGCAGGATCAAAGGGCAGCGGGTAGGCCCCAGAAAACTGATGGCTTCGTGACCCATAGGGGCTGAGGTGGGACCCCACCATCTCTCCTCAGACCAGAGCACTTTCAGGGTCTTTAACACACACACACACACACACACACACAACCCCCCCCCCCAGAGGATGGGGAGGGGTGGCCACAGCACCTGGTGCATCACAGTCACTAAGTCTGCTTATTTATCATTTATTTTTAAAATATATTTAAACAGCAGCAATCACTTCCAAAATGCAAAAAAAAAAAAAAAATTACAATTTTTAGAATAAAATTATAACGTTTATGATGCGAGTCAGAAAGAATTAAAGGTACAACTGAGAATCAAATCACGCTGCACTGGGGGTGGCTGGAGAAGCCAAGGCCCATGGGTTGGGGGGGGTCAAGCTGAGAAGAGGGCCCAACCTGTGAGGTTCCCACCTCAATCATACCCCCCAACCCCCACTGATGAAGCCAGTGTCCTCTGGGTTAGAGAAGGAGAAGCGGTAAAGAGCTGGCCCTCTGTCGGGGATTCCCCAAACCCAGTCCCCACCCCACCCCACCAGCCAGGGACCTGCTAATCGACCTCCTCCATGTTGCTGTAGGTGGGGGCTGGGCGGTCCACAGAGGGGGCGAAGCGTTCAGGGGCTGTCCGCGTGGGGGCCATCTCGGGGGCCTGGCCAGGGCCTAGTCCCTGCAACAGAATATGAGGACAGGGGTTGGGGGCTGCCCGGTATGCTGCCTGGCATCCCGGGGGTGCTGGCTCAGAGCCCCGGCACCCAAGGGAGGGTCCCAGGGCAGACGCAGACAGCAGCGGCGTTGAGACAGAGAGACAAGATCGGGCCTGAACAGTCTCACTTTATTAACACTTTAAATACAGGAAGCTGTTTGGGCCGGGCTAAGTCCCAGGCCAAGGGTCAGAGCAGCAGGACGAACGGACAGACAGCTGAACGGATACCCACCCTAGGATGCTCTGCCCTTGCAGGAGCCACATTCTCCACCCTCTCCCACCAGATGCACACACTGAGGCCCAAGCCCAGAGGTGATCCCCACCACAGAGGCAGGCACTGCCTGGTGGGCAGGCAGGTGAGCCAGCTCACAGCAGCTGCCTGCAGGCGAGCTCATCTCCAGCAACTCTGGGATACCAGAGGATAGAACATGTTGAGCACGAGGGCCACCAAAGCTGCCACGGTGCCCAGAACAAAGTACCAGAGGCAGCCCTCATCTGGTGTGGTAGGGCCACGTGGTAGGGGGCCCACCCAGTCTTGGGGCCCCCAGGGACCCAGGGGCAAAGGCCCCTCGGGTACTGGTTCCTCCTCGGCCTCCAGCTCCTGCCAAATCCGGGAAGCCTACAGTGTGTGGAAATGGCCATCAGCACCTGGGGCAGGGGGTGGGGAGGGACCCAGTGTCCCCGAGACCCCTAGCCACGGAAGTCCCTCCCAAAGTGACTGGCACTAACCCTTACACAACCCAAGTCAAGCAGCAGGGAGGTGGGCAGGCGGGAACCAAGTGGACCATTCGCAGGGTTGTCTAGACAGAGCACCAAGGCAGGCGAATCTTGACAGCATTGTGGCCCCCTAAAGAAGCTTCCCAATTGACATGCAGCTTCCCATAGGGGTTGGCCGGGGGGAGGGGGGAGACAGTCAGCTGGTCGGTTCTTTAGCCTGGGGCTCCCACAGAGGAGCTCATGGAGGATAGAGCTGCCAACCCGAGTAATCTGGCTCCCTCCCACCCATGTCCAGATAGACTGTGACCGCTGTCTTCTATCGGGATTCCTCTGCATCTGAGCAGAGAGGGCTCAAGGGAGGAAAGGATAGCAAGGAAGAAACCAGTCCAGAAAAGAGATGCAGCTGTGCCCACCCACCAGGCCTATGGCACCCCATGTCAGTG